ATTTAAAAGGTTTTGTAAGATCCAGTCCTTCTGCCCTCTACTCATCTTTGCTAAGTTAAACTTTGAGTGTTTTGCTCTGATTTGGGGTAAGATCCTCCAAGCAGTGGATGAGCTGCTATCAGACAGGCAGAGAGACCAGAAATAGATAAAATGTAATCCCAGCATACTTCTCTTCATTTGCCAATCTTCTTGCTAATGAGAAAAAATAAATCAGGAAATAAAACTCTTACAAATGCTGGAAGAGATGGGGAGAAAACAAGAAAATGGAAAAAAAAAAGTGATTACAGATTGGTTTTTTTCTATCAGCCTACTGAGACATTTTGATCCAATGATTTAACAGAGTGTGAGGTGTTTTGTGATGCAAAATAAAGCTTTAAGATATCAACCTGACGATCAATTTTGTATTTGCAAGTTAACACCTTTGCTGAATGGCTCTGTTGGAATTTTAAGATATATTAGGAGTGGTTGAAGGGAGAAGGTTAGACTTAGACTTGGAATTTCAGAACCTCATTTAAAATGTAATGTTTACTAAACTTACTGTGCAAGGTAGAAAATGCACACCAACTAATTTCCAGAAGGAATAAAGACTAAGAGCTATGCAAATAAAAATAAAATAGTATTTTTTTTCTTCAAAAATTTTGTAGAAATTATTTCTTTCTTAAGGACTTCAGACCATATCTGGGCACTAAACAAGGGCCTGGTTGACCCAGGTTTGGGACACAAATGCTCAGAAGACACTCCGGGCAGAAATGTATGTTGAGCTGGATAAATCCAGTCCACGTGTTTCCACATAAATACCAGTAGGCAGGCAATGACAGTACATGTTTTGAAAAATTAAACATTTGAAAATTGTCAGATTTATGGCTTTCCATCAAAGGCACTGAATTGCTCAAAGGTTATCAACAACAAAATATGGGAATTAGGCTGGTAACATACTGTTTATACGTGGAAAAAAAGCATAAATCCAGCACTTTCTAACATCTGGGAAGCATGGCCAATCTTTAAAAAATATTTTGGTTACCTAAATTCCTCACTTTTGGAGGAATTCTTAAAAAGGTGAAACAATTGATTGTAATTGTCGCACTCTCATTGCTCCATGTCTTGTCATCCTGATGTTAGTGCCAGCTGTCTCCTCAGATTCCTCTGTTGGGGACTGGAGGTAAGCCCCTGGTTCAAGCAGAGATGTCCAAATTGTGCACCTCATTTCAGTCCCAAAATAAACTTCAGAACCCAGTAGCAGAGCTGGAATGGAACAATTCAAGTCCAGCTCCCTGAAGTGCTGTCACGTTTTCCAGGCATTCCCGGGGCCGTGTGGTCTGGAGAGATCCCTTTTCTCCGAGCATTCCTCATGGCAGTGGTAGCCTGAGCTGGATGTAGCTGCCTCAGCCACCACATGTATCCATCTCTTCAGGCTGTTCATGTTTTGTGGCAGCTTTGGCAGCCTGCCGGGATTTTTCTGAGTAATGCAAGTGGTGGGGAATGATAATAATAATACTGTTAACCCTTTGGTTTCTCAGCCAACCAGGAGGAGGATTTGGGGGAGCAGAGCCTCCTCTGCCCCCCCCTTTCCCTGTGCCCCTCCAAAAATGCACCAATGAGTATGTGTTAGGAAGAACAAAAAGAGACAGGGATATGAATAAGCTTTCTAAGGAGGTGAGAGTATAAAAAAGGAAGATGATCTGATTCTCCCTCTGACAATTTTTTCCAGCAGTTTGAAAAATATGAAGAGCAATTCGTTGTTTTCTGCTGTTCCCCTTCACTCCCAAGGTCAAATAAGAATAGCAACCATGGTGGTTAATGCTGACAACCTTTCTCCATCCTTGTCTGGCTCTACAAGGGAGAGATTTGCAGTGGCAATATAATACATCACTGTGAGCTTTTTCCCTTGGCTGAGGCAAAAGCTTCCCAACTTCTGCATGGAGTGATTTCCAGGGGACACTAATCCAGCACCGAGAGCTGGGGGCAGCTGAGTTACGGTAACATTATTAAAATATTGACAGCAAGTCACTGCTATAGGGATAGGATGACTATATAGTGATAAAGGCAGGGCAGAGGAAAGATGAATAAACTGTTCTAATGCAGGGAAATGAATAAGAAAGGAGAAGCATATGGGATTGAACTTCCATGGAAATGAACAGAAGACCACAGACATTGATTTCACTGACAATGCTGATATGCAAATCAACTCTGTCACATTATGATGATCTTCATCATATTCCTAGTCTGGTGGAAGGTGTCCCTGATGGAAGTGTCTCCCTCATGGCAGGGGAGTTGGAACTAAATGACCTTTAAGATCCCTTCCATCCCAAACCATCATGATTCCATGATTCTCTGAGATCTCTACACAGCCCCAGACATTTTTTCCTGTTATCCTTTGGCTGGAAGATGCAGGTATTTTTTGCTGGGAAGTGCAGATTTTAAGCAGAACTGCTGCTAACTGTGCTCAGTGTGGGAAAGGAAGGTCCCTGCTGCTTATGTGCCACCGCCTGCCATGGCCTGTTGAGGATCAGCCCCCCAGCCCTTCACATCCTCAGCCTGGTTAATGAGCTTCCCTGGGCTTCCTGCCTGGCAGCAAACAATGCCACTTCACCAGCTCTCGAGTCACCACTAATTGAAGCAGCACAATTATCAAATCCTTGGCTTCGTTCCACATCTGAAATAAAACAGCTGTGTTATAATGTTACGATCAAATTCTTTCTCTGTTATATGACCTAATAAATTAACGGTTTGGAATGGTGCATTTGTGACTCAGTTTGTCACTAAAATATCCTAATTCAATCAATGGTCTTTTGGATAAATTTCACTGAGTTTGCTTGGTCTGAAGAGAAATTTGGCTGCTCCAAGCCATCCATTCTAGGAGGACTGAGGTGGTCTCTGGGATACAGAAAAGTAACGAAAAAAAAAGAAAATAATGAAATATTTCAGGAAAGAATTGGCTGCACAGAGAAGTGCTGCCTCATCAGTTTAGAGAGAGACACGGGTCAGCTCCTGAGAGCTCTCAAAATTGTCCTGGATTGGACCTGTCTGGATACACTTTATGTGGATTGATGGCTCTGCAGAAAGCCTGACCCAGCATGTGGCAGGATAACCCTTGCTACAACAAGCTCAAGGGTGAAAAATTAAACAATTCCAGAGCAATACATGGCTTGCAAAATTAAAGCATAAATTGAGCTAAACAGGATTTCTCTTTGGCTCTACAAGTATTTTTATTTGCTCTGATACTGGAAATTTAGCATACTTCATCACAGATTGGCCTGCTTTAGATACCTTTTAAAACAAAAGATATCTGAATGGTTTTTTTCTTTCCTCCCTCTTTTTTTTTTGTCTATTAAGAGTGCAGCCACCAAAAAAGACAGTGTTGTTAAATGGCTTCTAAACAGTATCACTAAGAATTAGGAAGCCTTAGTTTAAAGCCAGAAATATGAATAAGGGAGAAAAGACTTTAAACCCTGCAGAGTTAAAACTCTGTGGTATGGCTCACCAAAATAGATTTTGAGGAAGAAGTAGCCAAAGGCACAAAAATCTGATGATAGATGTTTTTCTTTCAAATGCGCCAGAAACAGGGAGGTCTGTCTGAGGTCAGCAGACCTGAAGGATGATGGACCTTTAGAAGGCAGCCCTGTTGAAAGAGAATGTTACTGATGGAAACCTCAGAGAGTTCTTAGTCCAGCTATGGAGGAGTTTGGGATACGGCTGCTTCCTCAAGACACTTAGAGTAACAACCTGAGAACTGAATGTCCCCACAGCTGGAGAGCTGGTGCTAGTGTCAGAAAGATTAGAATTGTTAGAAAAGGGATTGAAAAACCCACCAGCCTTCAGGAGGCAAAATTTAGCATTTCATGATATGGTTCAGGGGCATGGTGGTGTTCAGTCAAAGGCTGGACTCAATGATCTTGGAGGTCTTTCCAGCTGTAGTGATTCCAAAATGGGAAGTCATGTTTTTGGAAGAAATTGGTGATTGTATGAATAACTGCCTTGGCAGTCTCAGCTTTCATTTGAATATTGGGAAAAATGTGCTTTAAAACCAGCTTATTGTGTAGTAACAGAAAATGACCTCCTGGGATAAGAAATAAAGGGTAAATGGGCTGATCTCAAAATACAGGGAAAAGGAGCTCAGTTTTTGAGGGCTGTGCTCTGTGAGTTGTTCTGTTAAATATGTACAACAATGATGGGCTATAGGATCTTAGGCACAATACAAAACCAGTAAAGCATTTGGAGCTTAACTAAAAGATGCCAATGTTGAGTATGTCAAAGGAAGTGTACCTGAGGAAGAATCCCCCCAGGCACCAGGATGTGCTGGGGCTGACCAGCTGGAAAGCAGCTTTGCAGAGGACTCAGGGATCCTGGTATTCCTGCTTTCTGTTCATTAAATGTATTTGTGCCTCTATTTTATGGTTGGCTTAAAATACATGCATGCAAAGTGCAAAAGATGTCAGAAATATGAGCGAGGATAAGCTGTTAAGGGACAGAAAGAGTGGCAGTAAATTAAATTCTTCCTGTTTCATGTCAGGTAGCTCTGACACATGGTGTAGATTCATATGTGTAAGAGGGAAATGTATTTCATATACTCTAATACTGAGCAAGAAATAAATGCAGCTACTAATTTGTAAAATTTGTCTTTTATTTATTGAGCAAGTGTATGGAATATTTCCCTCATTCTGTATAATGACAATCTCCACATTTTTTCATGCAATTAGAAAAATACTGTGAGCAAAATTCAACACTGGGAAATGATCAGTGCAGTTTCAGAAGGTTTAATTTGGTATTAAACACAGAACACAAATATATCAGTGAGGACAGAAACCTTCCTAAGTCATCCCTTCCTAAATACCTAAAACTCTGCATCTTCAAGAACAAGGAGAGAGCCCTGAGCAGACAGCAAGTACAAGACCCCCCCCGACAGAGTATCACCAATGTGTGCCCGTGGTGCTATTTTACAGCTCCAGTTGATTTGTAACACAGCAACTGTCTCCAAGCAACTGCAAGAAATACCGGGATGTACAACCAGGATATGGAACCCGGCAGGGACAGGGCTGGTCAGGCAATTCTGCACCCCTTCCCACCCTGCCTTGGCTCCTGCCTTCTGCTGGAAAAGGCTCCAGCTGCCTTGGAGGTGGCCCTTGCCGGCATGAAGCAGCTATCCCTGCAGGTGGGAAATGGGATTGGGCCATCAGCTGCCCACATCAGTCATTTTGCCAGAATAACTCTTCACGTATTAATCGATTCAGCTCCCTTGTCTGTGCTAGTGGGGCTTGGCAAAATGGTCTTTTTGCAGCCAACTGACTCCAAACAAGCTCTCAAAACCAAAACAAAATAGCTGTAGATTTAATATAATTCACTAGAATCAATATACAACAAAGAAAGAAAATTTATATGTTTAATATCATTTCTCCCCAGCTGCTTTATCAAATTGCAAAACTACCAACATATGTAGGAAGTGTCTTCTTTTAATAGGTAATAATGTACATTTGCAGTCCTTGTCCTTCTGAGAAAGCTCATCATTTTGTTATTTGCTGTATTATGTTTCAATTAGGACCCATTCCAACCATTTAAAAGATGCAGGAATGGAGCAATCCACTTCCCCCATTTTAATTCCAGCAGAATATTTGGAACCCTTTGTGGAAGGGAATAGTAATCTATTAAATACTTGCTACAGAACCTAGTAGCGAAAGAGGGTTTCTTCTTTTTATGGTATAATTTGTGTAATCATTTATGTGACTGTTGGTTTGGGGTATTATAATTTTGAAGAAGTGTTTTGAGATTAAAAGCTTGAGCCTTTTCTTAGAGGGAATTAAGAGCTAAAAAGAGGGGAAAGAAAAGGAAGGGCAAGGCAAGGCAAGGCAAGGCAAGGCAAGGCAAGGCAAGGCAAGGCAAGGCAAGGCAAGGCAAGGAGCAAACACACAAGCTTGGTTTTTGGTTGTTAGTTTGCCACTGTTTCTTCTCCCCAAGCCTAAATTGTCAGGCTTGTGGATGATGCTGGGACATGCACTGTAAGGCTTGCCTTGCTTTTCCTCATTTATTCCCTTTTTTCTCTTATTAAATTCTAAAAAGTCTACAGTGAATGAGTTCTGTTAGTGACCACACATTAATAGCAGATTACTCCCATTTTACAGACACCTTCTGTGCTGTCACTCCTCACTGCTATTCAAACCAGAGGTACTGCTTTAGTGATCTGAATAACTCAACCCAACAAACTTGCTGAAATATGTTTATATCACAGATCTCATTGTCTTCTCCAGCTGGAATTTATTAAAAGGAAGTAAAAGCTTCTGGGTAGGAGAATGTGGCAGATCATGCAGCAGAAACATCAATGTGCTGACAGCCCTTCATGAGTACTAGCTCCTCTGATTAGCCTCTTTCAAACCATAATTAATATTATTATTCTGTACAAATGTATTATTATTATTATTATTATTGTTATTGTTATTGTTATTATTTTCATTTTTTATTGTAACATAAATGGCACACAGCATTTGGTGTACACCCAATACATTGGAATTGTCCATGTTTTCAAGATGGTCCCATCACATTTGAGAGGAAATGGCCTCAACTTACGCCAGGAGAAGTTTAGGTTGGATACTAGGAAATTTTCTTCACTAAAAGGATGGTTCAGCCCTGGTTCAGGCTCCCAGGACAGTGGTGGAGTCTCCATGCCTGAAGGGATTAAAAGCTGTGTGGATGTGGCACCTGGGGACATGAGTTAGTGGTGGCCTTAGCAGCCCTGGGGAATGGTTGGACATGGTGATCTTTTTCCAACCTGAATGATTCTATAATTCTAGGAATATATACATACAGATATATATTTTTTTTTCCTTTCTGCTTGACAGAGAGATTTGAACTGCATCCCACCCATTCCATGATTAGATCTCCATCCTGAGAATATGATATACATATATATATATATTTTTATAGATATATATATATTCTCTTTCTGTGAATACAGATGAAGCTGCTGGGTTCCTCCTTTTCTTCCTCCGGAATATTTTCTGTGTACTGAGGGAAAAAAGGCAGTTCATTCTCTCTAGCTCTGGGTAGCAGCAGGAGAACTGGCTGCTTAGGCAGCCTGGGGTGCCCCAAGCCACGCTGTGAAGGGATCGGGAGAGCTTTTGGGGCTCCTCTGGGGCTGGGAATGCAGGGAGCAGCAAGGAAGCCCAAACGTCCTCCTGTCCTGCCCTGGTGCTTCCCTCAGGGAGAGCTGGAAAACGTGCTGCAATCTGGAGCTCCGTGGCCCACTCCTTCCCTTCTCCTTCTCCTTCTCCTGCTCCACCCCCCCACTGACACTGGGAATAAAGTTATCACCAGAGGGATGAGTGTCCCTCGAGTGATAGGCTTGGAGGGAGCTGGGGTTCAGCCTGAAGAGGAGACATCTCCAGGGAGACCCTGCTGTGGCCTTTCAATACTTAAAGGAAGCTTATGAGAAAGATGGGGACAGATTTTTTACTGGGGGGACAAGGAGGGGGATGGTTTTAAACTAAAAGAGGGTAGATTCAGAGTAGATGTGAGGGAGAAAGCTTTTGCTGAGGGCGTGGTGAGGTCCTGGAATGGATTTCCCAAAGAAGCTGTGGCTGCCCCTGGATCCCTGGAAGTATCCAAGGCCAGATTGGACAGGGCTTGGAGTACCCTGGGATAGTGCAAGGCGTCCCTGCCCATGGCAGGGGTGGGACTGGATGAGCTTTAAAAATCTCTCCCTACCCAAATCATTCTGTGATTCTGATTTAATTTTGGACTCTCAGCTTTCACCACCAGTTTAATAGGAAACACTGATTTTTTCCACACAGACTGCTTATTTTAGTGGTACATGGTGTAGTCAAATTCTGATTATTTTGCTGTTCTGTTGACTGAGTTTCTATTTATCACAATAAATTTCTCAGCTTTTCAGAGATACTTTTGATTTCAAGGTACTTCCCGAATGTCTCCTCCTTTAATTAATCATTTATGAAATTAAATTCCACTGTGCAAAAACAGCCTCAAAAACTAATATTTTAAAATGTAGGCTTATCTGTATAGTATCTATAATTATTTTCATGTATTTTTTCAAATCTGAAATGCAGAGCAAACTGTTATTACTGAGGTCATATTAGCTGTGAAGATACTATTTCTCATTAAAGACCTTTAAAAGTAATATATTTTAGAAAATACTACTATGGATAAAGAAAACGTGTGTAAAAAATATTAAACTTATTTAAAAAGCAATATCCTACCTCATAAATGATAACTGCAAGACACCACTTGAGTTCTCTGGTTGGCAAGGATACTTTATCAGAAGTTTAAATATCCTCTAAAATCAAATTTTATCAGGATTTTTAATGTTAAATAGCATCTGTATTGCAGTTTTAATGCAATTCACTGGTGGCACAGTGTGCACAGTGTTTGCCTCAGTTTTTTTCTCCCTCATAGTTATTAGTGACTAGAAATAATCTAGAAATGCTTGTACTGTGGCATTTGCTTTGACTATTCCAATTACCATCTTTTTCCCAGTTTTCTACACTCATCTTTTTCTGTTTCAACATCAGAAATTCAGAAGGCAAAGTTGTCCCATTAATTCAGTTAAGCTCCTTCCTGTACGAACTTTATTTGCTTTCAGTAACTCATTGTGGAGTTTATGTGTATGTGTATGATTTGGCTGCTTACATTTGTTAAAATAAATAAAATTAGATATATCTTGAATTTATAAGGCTTTTCTTCCATGATTTTCCATGTAAAAGTAATTAAAGAAGACAAAAATTATTCATTTAACTGCATAATTAGTGGGGCAAAGGGGCCAATATTATTATTTCAGAGCTCTGAGGTTTGTGTGTTGGTTGCTTTTGGTCTGTAACAATAATAGGACAAATATTTTATTTGTATATGAGGTCATCAGAACTTTGGAGTGGAATAACCATTTTTAGATGAGCCATGACAGGCAGTGTAGTAACAACTTTATTTACTGTTTTACCTCGTACAGCTTCTTGTGCGATGAAATAGAAGTTTCTCACTAGAACCTACATTTTTGTATCTGCAAATTGGAGGCAAAGATCACAGAAGTTCACAGTGTATTTTGAAAGTTTTTCTTTATCAAAGTACATTTGGATGATTTCACTCTCTCAGTGAACAGCAGTTGAAGTGGGAACTGCTGACGACAAGGTGACAGGAGGCCCACAGCCACTGAAGAACTGAGGATTTTGGGGTAGCAAATGTGGGATCTTAGACCAAAATGTGCTTGTAGCCTGAAGGGAAAGACAAACATCTCTAAGGCGTATGGGAAGTACTGATAGCCAAGCCCAGCTGAAGAAATCCATTTGAAGTCCTTTATAAGTTCTTACACACATGACCTATCCATAAGTCACTTACAAGATCTGAATTTAGCCTGATCTTAATGAACAAGTTTAACAAGGGATTTATTGCTGGTTTTCTGTGTGCAGCATGTTATTTAGTATCTAGTGCCTTAATTTTTAGAAAGTTTGCCTCCCACACTTGTAACACCTCTGGGAAGGCTGCACCTTTCGCTTTGTTTTTCAGCTTGGCACTGGGGGAATGTGACAGGAACAAGGCTGTTTGTCTTCTTCTCCCTTCCACCTCCCCGGAGTAGTGTCAGCTGCCTCAGGGAGGGTGCCCAGGACCTTTTCCATAATTCCCTCACAAACAAAGTGCTTGGTCACATTGACTGCTAAGAGACTGAACAGGTTATATTTTTAACATGCTTATTCCATAATTTGAATGTCTCCTAGCACAAAGATTTTTAAGGGATTATTATGCTATGTAAATCTTGTGTTTATGTTGGCCATGCTTGCAATTATATGGGATCTGCTTTTTCCATGCTGATAAGCATTTTTTTTTGTTGTTTTCTTTCTTAAAACTGAATGCAGTCCAGGAGCTGATGGATACAGCTTTTATTCAACATCTATCATATCATAGTAGTAGGAAGTAAACTCAGATAAATATTATTTGAATGAGCTTTGACTTTATTTTGGTTTGCTAATCTGATCAAATATCCGGAGGTTTAATTGCATTCTCCTGATTGGTAATGCTAATAAATATTTTAGTTTTATCATATTATTAGCCACTATCGAAAGAAGTCCATATGACTATTGCATTATATATAGTTACTAGTGAGCTGAAGAAAGTAGTTAAGTTCAACAGAAGCCTGATTTGACAGTATTTTTCCTCATAAATATCAAATAATTTTTTAATTAGATTGAACATGCTCAAGGAAAAAACAAAACGTCAAAAAAGAGATAGATTTTGGGAGGATCAGATGAAGCAGCTAGAAGTCTCAAACAATGAACTTCTGTTCCTCATGTAAAAGGATACTTGTTTGGAATAGTGTAAGGTATTATTTTGAACCTCAGGTCAATACATAGAGCTGCCAAGGACCACAGTTATTTTAAATTTTATATAAATTGAATTCTATATGAATTTTCCCAAATATATTGCTGAGATTTACACACTTGTAATTTTTAATTTCTGTTTGTGCTCTGTTAAATGTACAATGCAAGTTCCAGCCTCCTGGTTATTCTGAACAAGTTTTTTACATAGTGAAAAAAATATTTTGCACAGGTGACCTCAGTTTGATTTACCCTGTAACTCATGGATTAAGCTTCCTTTTTAGACCAGATGTGCCCTCTTAAAAGGCAGAGTTCCCAGTGTTGTACTTGGGTTACCTGTGGAATTACATTTTCCATGAGAACCGGGAGTGCAGAAGCATCCCATATTTTCTTTCCCAAACAGAGCACTGTCATAGTCAGCAGGATTTTATTTGGCTGCCTGTGGTCCAATGCCTGCTTTGTTTTAATGCATCGTGTTGCGATTCACTGAGGTGGAGGCAGGCAGCAAAAGGGGCTCTCTTAGAATGTGTCTCAAGCCATATTTTAAATTGGATTAAGCTGAAAATTGTGCTTTCCTTGGAGAATCCTCCCTTGGTCGTGTCTCTGCCAAGAGCTGATGCTCACTCGGTGCTCAAACCTAACCCGCCATGAGGGGAACAAAGTACAAAGTGTTTGACACACTTTTCCTCCTGAGCCAACCCTCTCACTGAGGATAACTTCTCCTGAGCACGAGCTGGAGCGAGGATGGCATTTTGTTTGTGCTTTAAACACTCCTGTGGTGAGTTTTCCTGGGAGAACCTGAAAATGTTCCAGGAGGTTTGATACCACCGTGGATCCAGGCAGGGGACTGGGATGTGTGACAGGCTCTTGGTCATCGTGGAGCTGCTGCTCTAAGCTGCTAAAGCAGGCAGGGAGAGAAGGGGGAACAGAGCAGGGGTTTGTCCCTCAAGCCCATCTCACATGACAGGTCCGAGTGTCAGGAGAGGTCTGGAATCCCTCTCTTGTCCTTGGAGGTTGGGTTGGAGCGTGTTCCGTGTGCTGTTCCCAGCCCTGGTCCTCCCTCGCTGCTGTGCCTGAACTCTTTTTGCTTTGCTCAGTGATGTTTGCCACTAGGTTACCCAGTGCTTGCTGTCCTTCACAGTTGTAATTCATTTTTGGTGACCCTTGTGCATTTTTCTACTTTATGTTTTAAAAATTTTTGGCTAACTGTAGTGACAACCCAGATACTCCAGCTATTTTCCAGGTTAACTTACTGATAGTACTTGGAACTGCAATAATTCAAAATCCTCCCTGTCATCCTTCAACAAGAGAGTTCTTTTTAGTCATTAATTCTGCTAAATGGATGGTTATCTATTTAAATCTGTTGCCAAAGTAATTAACCCTGAAAAGTAATTCCCCTGCCAAATCAAATCAAGGTTGTTTTTTTCTGAAATTCTTTTTAAAATACAGTAATTCCTGCCAGTAAAGACCAGGGCTTGTAAGAGTATTCTGAAAGAGATTTTAGAGTTGTGCCAGTTTCCTTCTTTCAGGCTCATTGGAAGAAGCAATTGAGTCTCTTTTCTCAGCAAAGATATGCCCAGCAATCATGGTAAGAGACTGTAACAATAAAGATGTAAATGGGAAAATATCTCTTGTTGGATAGAGAGTTTGTCCCACCCCACACCTTAGCAAGGCAGTGATACAACTTTCATTAAAAGAAAAATTAAATATGGAATTATAAATACAGATGAGTATGGGATTGTTTTATTTTCTTTTTTTTTCCCCCCACAAAGGTTCATAGCTCAGCTCTGAAGTAAAAATAGCAGAGGGATGGCACATTGCAACAGAAGATGAGGGGGCAAGATGGCAAGGCAAGAGGTTAGTGGGGCCAGAATATATGGAGACAGATGTTGTTGGGCCCTGTTTAGGTTTTTCTCTGGTTATGCAGATTAAAATATCATTTTTCAGAACTGTGGCACAGTCAGAGATTTTTGAGCATGAAAACTTCCTGCTGTTTGTTTCTACTGTGTTCCTAGGAAATTCAGCTTAACTCATTGCTTTTGTAAATAGGCAAGATGTTAGGAAATTATTATTCTAAATAGAATAGCTGATGAATTGCTGATACCTGAGCATAAATATCCTCTTAAAGCCCTCAGAATTAACTGCTCACTCAAAGGAGAGTGCTCAGGCACTAATGGAAAGACATCCTGAGCCTTCAGGACAGTGTTGATGGCCTCAGTGGGCACAAGTTTATCTCGTCCTCAAGTGAGTCCTGGGCTCAGAAATGTAATAAAAATTTTAACACTAGAGCTGTGGGTTTTCATACTTAAAAAAATCCCAAACCACAAACCCTTCTGTTTCCCTAGAAAAATTTGGAGTCCTGCTGGCTAATTGGAGGAATTCTCTCTAAACTTTTGCCTTTTTTTTAATTAACATTTTTTAAATTATAGCAGCCAAAGTCTAAAACTGCAATAGTTTTCTGATAACTTGGGGGGAAAGAAAAAATCTTCTCTGGTTTTATTTTTTCCTCTTAATTTGTACATGGGCAGGATGACATTCCCAAGGGAATTTTGTGCTTATACTGCAATATGCAGCACAACTACTAAAAGTGTCATGGCTTTAATCATGTGTGCCTTTGGAAGGACACCAATGCCAGATCATTGCCCTCCAAAAGAAACAAAAAGGGAGAAATAGTACGGGTTTGCTTCATTCCCTCTGGCTGCTTTCTGTGCTCTGACTTGGCTGGAGAAGTTTCCCTCTGCCTGAATGTGTGTGGCTGAAGACCACTTAACAAATGAGCAGCTGCAGTGTCAGCTCATGCTGACATTTGCACTCACAAGGAGCCTCATGCATTGATCTGGTGTTGATCTCGCTCACAGTGACTAAGGCTAAGTGAAATCCTCAGGTTCAGTTCAGCTTCTCAAACCAGGCCTGGATTCTGTTCCTGGTTTTAATACTGAAAAAGCTTTGAGCCTTGTTGGACTTCAACCCTGTAAGTCCTCAAAGGCTTGGGACTGGATGGTCTTGAGGGTCCCTTCCAACTCCACCCATTCTGTCATTCTAAATGCTTTAACTAAAATTTTTGGAATTAAGAGAGTTGGTTTGTGTTTTTTTCTGGAATGCAAAAAATCCAGGTCACTGAGTTCATCATGGTGCAGATAACACCGGTCAGGGCCTTGCTGGACGTAGCACAGGTGGCAGGGAGCAGGTGGCAGGATAGCTCTGGCATGTGTAACCTGGGAATGATGTGCTCATCAGGGCAGATATTCTGCAGGCTCTAGTTTTGGTTTTGTGCTTGCTTAAATACACTTATCCACATCATATGAGGCCTCAGATCACTGCAGAGGCCAGAATCACAAGCTTGGAAGACATAAAAAGGGACAGGTCCATGGGGAAATCTCAAGACTGGTTTAAATGCAACTCCTGGAACAATCAGTGACTCCAGACTGAGAGTGCACAAGGGGAAGACCATTGAAAAAGAAGTGCAGGAGAGACGGGATGGAGCTCTGGCTCCTCGTGGTGATTTCTTCAAATCTTTCTAACTCATCGTTAGCTCAAGCAGGTAGACCACGGTCTCCTGAGAGACAATGACTTACCTTCAGGCTTCTGAACTCTTTTCCTTTTCTTCCCCCCAACTGGAATGCTTTGCCATTTATGCAGATGTTTCTCCTTATTAAGTTATGTAACAGAACAATTGGTTACATCTCTTACTGTTCAAGAAAGCTTTTTAGGTCACTTTCAGAGGACAGCAGTGCCTTCCCAGAGTACTGAATCCGTCAGTATGGCATTGACTCAAACGTAAACAGGGGTTTTCACCATTTTGTGTGGCTGATATTATTATTCTATACAAAAGTATACAAAATAGATACATTATTCTTTGCTATGCTGCCTGTTCTCCTAATCTTTGTGATTATGAATTTACAGTGCATAAGCACACAAAAATAAAGTTAAAAGAATATAAAGGCTGCTTTTTGTTGCATTCAACTATGAAGAACTTAATTATGTAGGTGGTTAAGGAAATACAAATTGTAACTTGTTTTTATAGATACTACTGTGAACTGCCATCTATATCTGGAATGAGATTTATTCATAAAGATCTTGGCTTCTACTAAATGTCTTCTACTGGCCTAAAACCACATTATTTAACTTTGGGATTTAATATGATTTCCTTTATCCACATCCAGCACATAGCACAAAGAATAACTTCCCATATTTGGTGTGAATGCAGTTCTTCCCTTGAGTATTGACTTTGTCCTTATCCCAACCTAATAAGAACACCAAAGAAGTAGAAATGAAAAGTGTCACCCTTGGAAAACTACACATGTACAAGCAGTTTTAACTTGTGATATCCGTAGTTGTTAGCCCCTGGTTTTGACATTATTTTAGGCTGTTTTTATTTAAGGAATAACAGCCCTTCAAAATATGTCACATTTAAAACATGGGTGACAAAAGAGTTTCTATTTACAGAAAAATTAATGTTGGGGTTGTTTGGTTTCTCTGCACCAAAAAAATAATCATATAATGTTAAATCTTCCATGTCCCAAGCTGTGGTTTGGGGGCAGCTCATTTGTTTTCAATCTTGTTTGGCAGGAGAAGAAAAAGTCTTCTGGATTCTGTTCTAAACATTAGAACGCAATTGTGATTCTTGTATTTAATTCACTACCTAGTGGGAAGAACACTGAATTTTTTCCCCCATCACTGTAATATATCAAGCTTTTAAATGCATTTCTTTGGTGATCTCCTGCCTAGAGATGTCTGATAAAATATGGATGAGCTGATAGACAGAGAGACCAAAGGATTGATTTATTTGGGTATAAACATAATTTATATGTGGGTACATATATATCACAGAAAGCAATACATTTTGTCGACAATGCAAATTGTAGAGTTTAAATTCTTCTAGAATTGTAGGAAGGCATTTTTGCTTTTTAATTGTGTCTGACAGCATCCCAATCTGCAGGACGTCAAGTTTTCAGGAGAGAACGTGCATGTTCCTTGAGACAGCTGGTAGAATCTAATAATGTTTGAGGACTAAAAATCTGAGTCTACTTAACAGCCTTCCCAGTTTGCTTCCATTCCCATTTCCAGAGTGTAAATAGCAGTTTGGCATTCTGATGCTGATGATAATTTGTGTTCACATTACTATTTTACAGTTAAAAAGGTGATGATTACGTTCTTCTGCTCTCTAGTTTTACCTGTGCCTAAGCAGAAATGTCATTGAATGCTTAATTTTTGTCAGGGCTTTCTAGAGACGATGATGTATTGAAACACAGCCTCAGCTGCATTTCTAAACTAACCATATGTCCATTGAAGACTTGCATATGTTTAGCAAAGCTTGGTTGACTTGATCCTTAAGCAAGCCTTAGCAGCAGTTTATAGTAGAGTTTAAAATGGATTAAATGTGGGGAGATGCAGATAGTGGCTAAAATTGCTGGGGATTGGAATGTGCAGCTTGACAGAGTGAGAAGACACTTTGAATATTCCCTGTTTGGAGGAGTAGGATGGTACCTAGTGGAGGTGGTTCTAGACTGCACATATTTTAGCTATAGCAACGCAGATTTTTGTCTCTTTACTCCTACTTCTAGTATTTTCTGAATACTCTCTAGAATGCCTGTGCAGCAGCAGTGAACCTTGATTAAGTGATGGAACATAACTAAAGAAATTAATAGTAATTCAGTGTACAAATGCCTGACCTAAGTTAACAGCAAATAATAGCAAATAAGTTAACAGGAAATAAATTATTATTGTTTCCACAGTGTGTTTTCATAGTAGGTGTGGTATAAAGTGGGTATTCTGGATGTGGATATTGACAAGGGAAACCTTTGATCTGCCAGATCTTTATCAAACAAGCTGAAAGGGAAAGCTGTCTTCAAAGCTGGTAGGCTTTGTGGCTGCCATAGTTAACCTGAAGCTTGATAGAGTTAGACATGACCTACTCTATTTTAACACTAATTTTATAAGTACTGTGTTTCCTACTAATTGCTACAGGAGCAAAAACACTTCTGAAAACCTAGACCTTTCCATGGTTATCTGTAACTGATGAAGAGAATTCTGAAAGAGGCAGCACTGTAATATTATTGGTGATGTGTTGCTTTCAGGGAAGCTTTTACGTTCTGTTCATGCACAGTGTTTTGCATGTGAAGGTTTTAGAATGTTTCTGTTGTCATTCCCTATAAAAAACCCCTTGTTTTCCAAATGGAATGTGCAAAGGCCTTAATTTAGACTACTAAATACAAATGATTGAATACAGCTTGAACATGAGAAAATAACTCTGGCAGCATCTACTCTTCCATCACCTGCACTGCTGGTGATCATCTTGATACCTGGTTTATGTTATGACTCAACAGACAATCTGGATTGATATTTCTTGTAATAGATCCACTGCAGGTCAGGGGTGTGCTGTAGAAGCTGCAAAATTATTTTCTCTGGGGGAAGATTTATGTTACTCATGGCTTAGAAACATCTCTTTTAATGGGTGGGAAGAGCAGCCTTTGCTTTATAAGGAAACAAAAACTTCAGCAAGAGCAGAATTTTTAAGACTGCCATCTTCAGGTTCCATGCATGACCTTACACAGCAGCAACAGGGAATGTCAGGCCATTGGTCTGGAGATGCACTTTGGGAAACTGTTCATTAATCTGCTGTATTGAAGCTGTGGGGATTTATTTCATTGCAGCTTTTGAGCCTCATATTTTTCTGTACGGAAAGGAACAGTGTTGGAACCTTAAATTGGCAGCTTTTACTTTCAGTCGTCAGAGGCAGGTTTGAATTTCACTGCTGGATTTTTTGGGTTGGTTTAACTGTTCCCTGAGGCAGGTGTGGTCTGTGTTCAAGGGTCTTGTCTTTTCTAACATTTTGCCTAGTGTTTAGAGAAAACAAA